AGTACCACTCCTTTCGCCATTACAATGCACAGAAAATTTGTGGCATGAAGAATCCTTGTAGAGACAGTAACATTAACAACAGGGCCCTGATACAACTTGTATTTCCTAAGTGCTGGCATAGCAACTCAGATCCTTATTATATTATATGATTATTATTATATATCGTGCCTGGGGTTTTTTTTTAAGTAAAATAACTCTAGGAATGCTAATATTTTAAAGAGGCAGGAATCTTTTTCTCCAAAGCACACAGAAGGCAGAACCATTATAAATTAACATCCTTCTAGGCTACAGGAATGCAAAATGGCACATCAGGGGAAAGTAAGATGCCACCTTATTGCCAGTGATCTAAAGCAAAGCTGGTTACTATTAAGGCAAATAGTCTGTAGTTACATAAGGTGACAAGGAGCAGGGAATCGTGTAATACACAATTGCACCCTCTGTCAAAGAGAGCAAATTGAGTGGTGAAGGCTAACATCTGGCTCCACGGCATGCTAAGGAGGCTTCTCTGCATACTGTGTTAATGAGGATAATGTATACATGACTCATAGCAATGACACGTTAATATTAAGAGAGTCTAATGCTATGCTTGCAAAAATGTGTCGTCACTATTTCCAGACCGGCTGACTCACGGCTTTATTTAGTCTTGGCAACCAGCTTCTGGCATAGGCCAAATCCTGCCCTCAGCATGAAAAGGCATCTACACAAGACTTTCAAGTGAAGATCTCTTCTAGTAAGCGATAGGCCGCATTGAATCAGGTCCTGGGCAGAGCAGAGAACTCGAGGTTTGTGTGTCTGGTTGGTATCGTGTATGGCTAGTGCGACAGATATTGCAACCCTATGCAGCAGCTTTGGGGACCACTGTATTGCATTTATGAATGGTTTATGTAGAAGAGTGTTTTATTCCATGGGGGATGGTTACCACAGCTCCTTCAGAAACTAAAAATGGGTGATTACCCCTGGGGGTAACTGCCGCAAAGCACCACCCCCTGAGGAAAGGACTTTTGGTATAAAAAGCTGAGCTTGAACTGGCATGGGGCTTCTTTCTGATCCAGCAAACACAGGCTCTTCTGTCCAAGGGGAGCCCCGGTGCTCACAGAAGGCCCCACCAGGGCCCCAGAAACTGATGCATGACTCCTGGTATGTTTAGTGTGCAGTTAAATCTGTGCGTTGTTCTTATTATGTTTTTCTCTGTGATGCTTTTTCCTTCTACAGTACTTGTGTTCCCTGCTGTTGGCACTTACAGCAATTCACGCCATCATAGACCCCACACCCGCTGCCACTATAGTGTCACAGTTTTAGGGTTAACTGCACCTTTGACAGCCCCCACTCTAATTTTTCCCATCGATGTGAGAATGAATTTTGTTATGTGCACCACTATTGAGGTAATGTGCAGATGTGCGCCACCAGCAGAAACCAAAAACCTAGATATATGTCCCTTCCAGTCCTACACTTCTATGCTTCTGTGCTGTGAGCCTCACAGTGAGATCTGTTCTGCCATAAGAGAAGCAGCACCCATTAAAATGAAAATTGCTTTGCCAATTGCTAGTGAGCCTTCTGAAGCCAAGCCTGCTACACAAATCCTCTCTCTGACCTCAGGGAAGTGTGTGCCTGGAGCCTTTGGATCTCACTGTGCCTCTTGTGTTTGTGTGAGCTGGAAAAGTCATAAAATAAACAGGAAGTTGACATAGCCCACTCAGAAGAATGTAACCTGAGTGCTCAGTGTGGGTGTGAGATGGTTATACAATCAATATACATTAGCTAGATCCAACCAGTTCGATTGACAGAGGCTCCCCAGCTAAACAGCCAAACCAGACTTTCTTGCTCTGCTGGGCCATGCTAAAAGCAGAATATTTCAGGACTAGTACTAGCTCTACCTCAAACACCTGCCCTGATCCTATTCCCACCTGATCTCATCCGACCCCAACGCCATTGAACCCCTTCCCCAAACACAATTTAAAAACTATTCTCTCTCTCCTTGATGGGTAAACTGATGGTTCGTTGCTCGTACTACATTTATACTTATGGAGATGTGAGGGGAGGTGCACCCCTTGCTATACCTGTACAGCAGGAGCAGCAAATACAGTGCACCCATCCAGAGTGTGGGTGGAGGAGCAGGGGGAATGGGGTCATGGCTCTGCTGGCATCTAGAAACACCTTGGTTAGCAGCATCCAGCCCCCCACTCCACACTGAGCTGAGACCAGCCAGTGCTGAGAGCTGGTGTCTGGGTGGCTGCGCTGGGGTGGAGATTCTGTGCCCCTTCCCCCTTCTTTAGCTCAGTCACGTAGGGGAAGGTATAATTTAGTCCTTACTCTCCTGAAACATTCTTGTTCACTCTGATGCAGAGTAGGGCATCTCTAATGGGATGTGAAGCCTCTCGTAGTTCAAGCCCATCAGTAGTGATCAAACATTTCCGAGCCGATGGCTGGTGAGGTAAGTGAAATGAGCTGGGTGGAGTCAGTTCCCAGCAGGCAGCTGGCAACAGGGCTGGCTTTAGGAAGTGCGGGATGACTTGACAAAAAAAACCACCTTTCATTTCTTCCATGTATTATTTACTTTCCATAACTATATAAATAATAACAAAATTATATATTTTACATACATTGCGTAATGTATGCGGATGCATGCTAACCCTAAAGTTCTTGATGGCCCCCCCGGAACTCCTGCCCCATCCACCCCCCTTCCCTGTCTCCTGACTGCCCCCTGCCGCCCCATCCAACCCCTCCTCTCATTCCTGATGGCCCCCTGCCCCATCCAACCACCCCTTCTTTCTGTCCCCGACTGCCCCTGGAACCCCTGCCCCTGACTGCCCCCCACTGCCCAGTCCAACCCCTGCTCCTTCCTGACTGCCCTCCCCAGGACCCTTGCCCCCATTCAATCCCCCTGTTCCCTGCCCTCTGACCACCCTGACCCCTATCCACCCCCCCACAAACCCCCGAACTTCCCTGCCCTCTTCCAACACCCCCTCCCTGCCCCCTTACTGCGCTGCCTGGAGCCGCTCGGCCAGGGCTGGGTCCGGGCCGGAGCCGCTCGGCCAGGTCCGGGTCCGTTCAGTCTGGGCAGGGTCCGGGTCCAGGGCCGGAGCCGCTCGGCCAGGGCTGGGTCCAGGGCCGGGCCGGAGCTGCGGGGCCCAAGCTAAGCCGGGCCGGAGCCACTCGGCCGGGGCCGGGTCGGAGCTGCTCGGCCGGGGCCGAGACCGGCGCTGCGGGGCCCGAGCTGGGCTGGAGCTGCTTGGCCAGGACTGGGCTGGGGGCGTTTGGCCGGGGCCAGGCCAGAGGGAGCCGCGCGCTCAGCCAGGGCCGGACTGGGCCCTCCCCGACCCAGCTTACCTCCTGCCTGCTGCTTGTTTCAGGCTTCCCGCGAACATCTGATTCGCGGGAAGCAGGGGAGGGGGAGGAGAAGGGGGGCGGAGCGTTCAGGGGAGGAGGGGGAAGTGGCTGGGGGTGGGGTGGACAGCTGCGCGGGGCCCTCTAGGCGCGGGGCCCCATTCAGGGGAATCGGCCTAAAGCTGGCCCTGGCTGGCAACATCGCAATAATCCACCCTGATAATTGGTGGGCACTTGCAGCAGAAAAGCCAAGGACTGACTGGGCCTTGGCACCTCAACCTTCCGGCCCCTGCAGGCATAGATGCTGGAACTATGGGTGCTGCTACACACCCTGCCTTGAAGAGGTGTCCAGCATATACAGGGTTTACAGTTTGGTTCAATGGCTCTCAAATTGTTCCAGCACCCCTGCCTCCTCCAGGTGGTCATGGTACATTGGTGAGGAGGGCAACGGTTAAGGAAAGCTCAGGCTGCTGCCAGCTATACTGTCCTACAGATAAATGAAGCGCTTTGGTTATCCAGGCTTTTGCTCTGGCAGCTTTCACAAGAACTCAAATTCATCATGAAATTTACCTTCTTTTAATGTAAAGAAGAGTGGGATCGGTGTTAAAAACACACACCTGAAACTAGACAGAGTTGAAAAATATACTGGTTTTGTTTTTATTGAGCACCAAAGTAGGAGAACCTACGTTTCTAATCACAAGCAGCACAAAACATGAGTGATAGTATTGAATGAGTCATTGGGCCAGATTCTCACGTAGTGGAGGTCAGAGCGACTCCACTGAAGGCACCGACTGACACCAGCTGAGATGCTGGCAGCTCATGAGCACTGTGAGCATATAACATTACATGAAAAGTTTATTGTAGCACCAGACAAGCCTTAAAATGATACCAAACACACACATTTAAAAGCTAACATTACCAATTCCCCTTTGAGCTTTTACAGTGTTGCCTTAAAACCATTTGTTTTCTGGGCAGCAGTAAGAACTCAGGAAAATTTGTCTTGCAAGATATGGTGTCGTCAAAAGCAGTATGAATGTTAATATTGGAAACGTTGCCTTCAGATCTCCGCGCCGGCTGATTTTTTTCTAAGTTTGACAATTTAAAAGAACTTGAAAAGAAAAATTAATACCCTAGCACCATTAGGTAGGCTGGATTTTCTACAGCATGTAGTAAACAGCAAACATTCAGCAGTACCTTATTTTATCAGTCTGCCATTTTTTTTTAAGATTCATTTTGCAATGATTAAATTCCTGCTCTACAGCTCCTATCCAGCAAAGTACTCAGCCATGAGCTTAACTAGCATTGCAAAGCAAAATGCCCACCTCGGGTTAAGCATGAGACCGGAGCCTAGGTGTTTGATCCTGCAAGGTCCTTAAAACACATAACATTGACTGAAACCAATAGGAGTTGAGGGCACTGAGCTTTAGAGCTGATTTAAAAATAGTAAAATGTTTTGTACACATTTTTCAATGGGTTTTTGGGGGGGGGGGAGTCAGGAAGGAATTTCATTGGCAGAGACCCTGGTTGTTTTTTTTTCTCCTTCCACTACAGTGTGGGGCAGGGATCATTTGCTGGCTTAAACTAGAGTAAATGGTAGATTCTCTGTAACTTGAAGTCTTTAAACGATGATTTGAGGACTTCAGTAACTCAGCCAGAGGTTAAGGGTCTATTTCAGGAGTGGGTGGGGTCTGTGGCCTGCGATGTGCAGGAGGTCAGACTAGATGATCATAATGGTCCCTTCTGGTCTAGTCTCTGAGTCTAACACTGGAATGAAATTTTTCAAAACCTGATAATTTTACCTGGTCAAAAAATAAACGCTCAGTATTTTTAACTTCCCCTTTACCATATAGGGATTCCAAACTCTAGGGGAAGAATAAACATTTGCATATACTGTAGTACTTAAGGGAATATCAGACAGAGCACCATGGTAGACCATTTCCAGCCTCATGTTGTTAAATACATAGATCACCTTGTAGACTAAATCATAAAAGGATAGTTGTTCACTGGGGCAAATTCATCCCTGGTGTAGCTTCCATTGATTTCAATGGTGACACAACAGAGACCAATTTGTCCCATTTTCTTTAGTGAACATATTAAAGTCATTCATGCTATTCATAAACTACCAGTCGATTCATTTCCTTTTAGCTAAGAGACCTCTGACTTCTGTTAATATGATGTACGTGCAGTATGAAAATCACTGATTGTATTCAGCACACACATACTAGAAAAATCAAGCAGGCTGTTTATACCTAGGGCCTGATTCTAAACCCACGTGCACCATTTTTATACCAGTGTCACTCCTGAGTTACTCCTACGTAAGCGAAATCGGACTCAGTCCCCTAATGTGCATTATAGTGTGTACTGTGCTGATACAGATCTGAAATGAAATTGTGGATGAGACTGGTCATCTGTTCCGGTTGTAAAGGTGCTGCTCAAACACTACAGCTGCCGTCAAAGGAATGGATTTCTCCCCCTCTTCACAGGGCTGAGTTCTAGAATAGCTGCTCTTGCACCAGGCAGGTCTTTAATCAACAACTTGCAGAGATCAGGAAGATGCTGAATAGCTGTATCTGGAGACCGAGGGCTGCAATTCGTCTGAACCAGACAACTGCCGGGTATTTCTTTCTTTAAAAGCTCCTTAAGAGTTAGGTCCCACTGCATGAAAATCAAATAAAAAAACCCGGAATGTAAATGTTTATCATTGCTGTGGTGTTTGCATAGAACACATTCTTACCCAACCATGTAATCTCAGCAATTGGCCTCACTTAGGCCTAATGAAAAGTTAACTGATTAATTTTGTCCCTGTTGCTTTAAAGCAGCCGCATCTGATTCTGAAAGATAAAGACACCACCGGTTTGGGACAGATTGTCTGATGATGCAAATTCTTACATATGAGCCTGACCCCAAAACCTACTGACATCACTGGAGGTCTTTCCACTGATTTCAGTGGGCTTTGGATCAGGCCCTGTGTGAGTAAGCGTATTCATGTGAAGAATCCATGGTGCTCAGTAGTACTACTATAAAGACATTCCCATGCCTAAGTGTTTGCAAGATTGGGTTCCACTGTAGTCTCCTTCTAAACTACCGGTCTCTGCGTTTTCTCATTCAGGATCAGACGTGGCTGCCTTAGGCTTGGGCCCTTAGACGTGCAGTATAAAACATTTGGGCATTTACTATAAAAAGAATTGTATACATTGCATGGACATGAACGTTAATCTTTGGCTAACTGCTGTTTTGAAATGTTTGAGAATCCCCAAATTCCGCTACATGGTCCTATTCTACATGAGAAAAGAAAACCCACCAAATGTCAGAGGTTTTTTCAGGAAGCCGGACAAATATTGAGAAATCAAAACCAAATGAAAAGGAACCTGAAGAGATGAATTTCACCATGAATATTTTGCAGAGATCTTCCTGCAGCACAGACCAGCCTTGGGATGGTAAATACCATTTCCTGTTTGTCAGCATATGCCTTTCAACTAAATTCACTTAGGGTACGTCTACACGGCATTGTAACTCCGGGGCTGTGGGACCTGCGCCTGTGGACTTGATGTTTCCAAGCCTGTGCTTGAGCCTCCACACTGCATCGTAAACCTGGGTTTACAATTGCTGGATCCAGGTCTCACAGTCATGCTAACGTGGCCACACTGCAATATGCAGCTCTTCTGACTGGAGTCTGCGGCTTGAGCTGCATCCACACTGCAAAATGACAGGGTTTGGACTCAAGCCTCAGCAGGACTCAGGCTCTGACCCACCCCTCCAGCAGGGTCCACAGGCCTGATCCAGTGGGGGTCCTGGCCTGAGTCAGACTGATTTTGTGTGTGAATGGAAGGGGGGTTGGGGCTCAAAGCTGATACTGAGCATGGGCTTACAGTGTAGTGTAGACAGACCCCTATAGTGAATTTCAACCCTGTGCAGAGGGCCAGTATAATCTGTTCATTCCCTTTGAAGCATCTGGCACTGGCCACTGTCAGAAGACAGGATACTAGGCTAGATGAACCATTGGTCTGACCCAGTATGGCCATTCTGATGGTCTCAGCACCATTAGGGCTTCAAGGACACCTAGGTGGACAATATGCCTGATGCCAGAGAGGGGTAATTTCACCCGTAAAAGACTGTCTTTAAATCACTGTACATTGGGCAACTGTCATACATTGGGAGGGTAAGCTCAGTGGTTTGAGCATTGGCCTGCTAAACCCAGGGTTGAGAGCTCAATCTTTGAGGGGGCTATTTAGGAATCTGGGGCAAAAATCTGTCAGGGATGGTACTTGGTCCTGCTGTGAAGGCAGGGGACTGGACTCAATGACCTTTCAAGGTCCCTTCCAGCTTTATGAGATACGTATATCTGCATATGATTTTCACACATCCATCCCTTTATTCAGAAGGTACTTACCCAAGTTAACCTAAGTGCTTCTGCTGTTGTTTCACGTAGCCAAGTACGTTATTGGAATTACTCCCTGTAAAACAAAACTCTGCCAAATTAGGGTTTATGGCATGCCCTTTCAGTAATGAACGCTCCAGGAAGATTTCTAGCTGTATATTTTAAATGGTTTGTGGCTTACTTTCCAGTTCTTTGGTGGGGCTGTTGTAGCAGTGGTAGGTTTAAATTACACCAGTGAAGTCCCCAAATTCTGCCTTTAATTACTCCCAACACATCAGTTAGGTTGCACAGGACTAAGCGAGGGGAGATTGACCATTCCATTCTAGATCTGAGAGTTATCATGATCTAACTAAGGCCTGGTCTACACTGGGGGGGGGCATCGATCTAAGATACGCAACTTCAGCTACGAGAATAGCGTAGCTGAAGTCGACGTATCTTAGATCAACTTACCTCCCGTCCTCACGGCGTGGGATCGATGGCTGCAGCTCCCCCATCGACTCCGCTTCCACCTCTCGCCCTGGTGGAGTTCCGGAGTCGACGGGGAGCACGTTCGGGGATCGATTTATCACATCTAGATGAGACGCGATAAATCAATCCCCGATAGATCGATTGCTACCCGCCAATCCGGCGGGTAGTGTGGATGTACCCTAAGGTTTGGAAAACAAGCAAGGAAAAAAAAAAAAGGTGCAAAGTAGTGGGTAGCTTTTCCTAGCTTTTCGCCTTTCAAGAACAGGATTCCTTTCCTGATTAAATCATAAGTTAAAATGAATTTGATTGGGTGTTTCCCATTCCAAACGTGACTTCCATACCATAAACCCACCATACATTGCAGCACTGTTGGCAGTCTCAGCTCTGGAGGACCTTGTGGTAGGGGCCTCACATGTCTGCCCTGAGATGCACTGGCAAAGGTGTGCTGAAAAGCTTCCGAGGAACGTCTCCCCACTATGCCATTTCATAAGCAGCAAATTCCTCGTAACCAATTGGACCACTGTAAAGCCCAGCAATACCAAAGACCCACAGATGGTGTCTTACCAAAATACTCCTTGTAATATTTATGCCTTAGATTGCGTCCATCTGCAAAACAAGAAGATACATTATGATCAGGCTTGGCAGAATTGGATTTTTTAAAATAATTTCGACAGATGAGATCCATGTTTATTTTTAAGCATTTTTCTCTATTTGTATTGATTTTAAATTTTTTACAGTTGTGCAAAATTATGGTTTTTAAGCAATTTTGTTGGCTATTTTCATCAATTTAAATTTTCACAGTCGCTGGAAACTGGGGTGGGTGGGGGGGGGGTCAGACAATAATTATTAATGACAGTAGGTGTTGAAAAAGATAAAGCTTGATAACCATTAACACAAAGTGTCAACATTGCATGTCAAAATATATAAGGTAAATATCTTTAAAGCAAACTCTGATAAGTTCACACGCAGCACTTTTCTTCCTTCGCCGATCTATAAATTTAGACTATTATTGACGGAAGTATTTTTCATCCGTTTTTGGGTGTATGGTGAAATGGACATTTACTGATAAAAATTGAATCTGTCCAAGCCTAGTTATGATAACGTATCCAACCAGGCTTCACTCTTAACTGCTTCCTTTGGATTAAATCCTGGCCCCTGTGCATAGCCTGAAAACTCTACAGGGAACTAGGGGGACCAAGATTCCTACCCTCAACATTTGGGTAGGGAACAGAGCATGCATCTCACCTTCCCATGGCTGCACCTGTGTTGTCTGGGTATCCGTAGGCTGCTATGCAGCTCCTACCGGTACATTTCGACCAGTGGATCCATGCAGTCACATCCTTCTCCTAAATACGCTGACCATTAAATGTAGTCATGATCTAAGGAACCAGTCTTTCTTACACAGAAAGCATTTATTAAAGAAAACAGCTAGAATTTGAGACAATCTAACAGGCTTCTGCACAGTTCAGTTCCAGCTTCATCTCCTTTGTCTACCAGGGACCATACTGTATCTGAAACTTTTACAGCTCAGAGAGACATCTAGTGCACGAACACCATAAACACAGATACATATCATTACATTAGTGACTTGAGCAGTGCTTCTCAAAGTCGATCCACCGCTTGTTCAGGGAAAGCCCCTGGTGGTCCAGGCCGGTTTGTTTACCTGCCGCGTCCGCAG